GCGAAAGACCCCTCCTGATACAAAAATGTGAGAGTGCCATTAATGTGAGGTTGGTGGCGCAAAAGAGAAGAGGATTTGACGAAGAAAAACGGTTGAAAGAGGAGGGAGAAAAGATCCGACGAAAGCTGAAAGAGAAATTGGAAGGGGAAGTTGATGTCCAAGCCCGGTTAGCTCTCCTCACCGAAGCAGTCCTCCACTCCGCCCAGGAGAACGCTGCAACTCGCATTGCGGTAGAAAGGATAGAGGCCCACCAAGAGGAGTTTAAGAGTAAGTGGAATAACTACGTCGTAGCTAACCTCCACCAAATAGAGCAGAAAGCTGCTCACCACATGCATAGGTTAGAAGATATCCTTGTGAACAAACTCACAGAGGTGGCAGCTCAGATGAAGGGTGGAGGAGGAGGACCTGGCTATGGAGATGGGGGAGATGATGGAGATGGTGGCAAGAAGGGAGGAGACCGGAAGGGAAATGTGAGACAGCCTGAAGGATAGAAAAGAAAGAAGATGAAGGTGAAGATCCCTTGGACCTTCACGGGGGCAAAGGGTGCAGCATCCCCCCCTAGGCACGGACTTGCCATCAACACCATGTCAAAGAGTGCGGGTTGTGAAAGCATGGTGGCGTATTTGCAACAGACTGACATACAGACGTTCTTTAAGGACCTGAAAGAGAGGTTCAAAGACAAGAAGCAGGCCCGGTGGGTTGAGTACCTGCTTTGAAATATAGGAAGACGTTAATGGAGAAGCGTGTCCGCCCTTTAGTGTTGCACTCCCTGACCCTTCTAGTGGAGGATAACTTACCTTTTGACATTATCCGAAGGACGGATTGGGGAAATGCCACGCTTGTAGACGTGAAAATGGGGGAGCACGAGTGCTGGCTGCCCAGTCCCGAAGGGGGGGAAGAAAATGCGGTTATTCCATGTGTCTGGAGTAGAGTCTAGTCTGTCCCTATGCTGCATGAGTGCCCCTGCGTTCGCTCGGCATGTAGCCCAAGAGAACCTAGTTGACCAGGTCTTCGTTGCCTACGTCAAACCGGTCAGCGAGGAGAAGAAGGAAGATGAAGTGACGCCGCCCCAAGTAGAGAACCTGTTGAAAGAGTTTGCCGACGTGGGACAGAGCCCTGCAGGTGTAGTGGAAAGAGAGATTAAGCACTGGATCGAGATCGAAACCAATAGTAGAACTCCGAAGGGCCCTGCATATAGAATTTCTCTCAAAGAGTTCGACAAACTGCGCAAGCAACTTGATGAGTTGTTAGAAAGGGGCGGAACTGCAGATGTGTATTGACTATAGGGGATTGGATGCGATAATTGTCAGAACCGCCGAGCCATTACTGCGAGTTGTTAGACAGTGTGCAAGGCTGTAAGTATTTTTCAAAGATAGATTTGAAGTCGGGCTACCATCACATTGAGGTAGAGCCCAGAGATCAACACAAGACGACGTTTATGACCCATTATGGCCATTATGTGTTTGTAGTAATGCCGTTTGGGCTGACGAATCCCCCTGCCATATTTCAGAGATGCATGAACGATCTCTTTAGGGAATGGATAGATAAGTTCATTGTTGTTTACCTAGATGATATTATGATTTTTAGCAAGACGTTAGAAGAGCATCAGAAGTACCTTCGTCCGATCTTGAGTAAGTTGTGGGAGGGTAAGTTCAAGTTGAACCCAAAGAAATGTGAGTCGGCTAAGCGCCAAGTTTTACGGGAAGGTAAGTTCAAGTTGAACCCAAAGAAGTGCGAGCTAAGCGCCAAGTTTTGTACCTTGCGCATGTCGTAGATGGAGACGGAGTTAGATCAGAAGATGCGAAGATTGCAGCGATACGAAACTGGCCGATCATACGCTCACAGAACTGCGGTCATTCCTAGGTCTGGCCAACTACTATCAGACGTTCGTGCACAATTTCACTACCGTCGCTGCACCGTGACGTAGACTGCTGAAAAGGAAGACCGTTTGGACATGGGATAAGGACTGCACTTCTGCATTATAAAGCTAAAAAAGTGCTTTGCTGGAATAACCGGTCCTTGAAATGGCAGATCGGTCTCTTCCATTTATTGTCACGACTGACAGGAGTTAGTATGGTATTGGCGCTGTACTCCAACAGAATGATGGAGAGGGGTATAGGCCCATCGAGTTCATGTCCTGCAGGCTACCTTGTGAGAAGGTCGCCGCCTCGACATATGAGAGAGAGTTGTACACACTTAGACAAGCTTGAGACCACTGGCGACTTCAAAGTGTGTTCTGATCATGAGACACTTAGATGGTTGAAAATGCAGGCCCGGATGACTCCTAAGTTGACCAGGTGGGTGACAAAGATCGACCAATTTGACTTTGAACTTATGTCAGTCAAAGGCAAGTATAACGTCCTAGCTGAGGCCTTGAGTAGGCGTGCAGACTGCTTTGGTGCAGTAGTGATGTACCTAGACGCAGGCCCTGACCTGCAGGAGAAAATTAAGGCCGCATATGCAAAAGATCCTGTCTATAGCGACCTAATTAAGAAAGTACAGACCGTGCCTTACGAAGTCCCGGATTACCGAATGCTTGAAGGAATGTTGTTTGAGAAGACGGATGTAAACGACAGGCTGTGCGTCCCGAATGATGAAGAGATTCGTAGCCTGATCTTAGGGGAATGCCACGACACCGGAGGACATTTTGGGTGGAGGAAGACGTATGCAACCCTCCTCCGATCCTACACGGGGCCCGGTTTGAAACACGACTGTATCACATATATCCAAGGCTGCAAAGTTTGTCAGCGGAACAAGAGTTCCATGCAGCCTCCCTTAGGACTGCTGAAGCCCTTGCCTATCCCGTCAGGCCCCGGCGCGTCCGCGTCGATCGATTTCATGGACACGAAGGTTAAGAGTAGGAACGGTAAGAGCCACGTGATGGTCATAATAGTTGGATTCAGTAAGTTCGCTGTTTTCGTTCCGTTTGCCTGCCCAGGCAAAGACGGAGCTAGTGATTAGAGAATTCTCTAACCATTGGGTCAAGGATTACGGACACCCCTTGACCATAGTTAGTGACCGCGACACTAGGTTTACAGGTGATCACTGGCAGCAACTGATGAAAGTCTACGGATCTAAGTTGACCATGCCGTCAGGCTGACACCCCGAGACTAACGGCCAGACTGAAAAATATGAACAAGCCGCCGCAGCAAGTGCTACGGATGTATATTAGACCAGACCAGGACGATTGGGATGAGCACCTCCCTAAGGTAGCAAGTGCGTATAACAATTCAGTACGCTTGGCTACCTTGCGGATGTCAAACAAACTACATAGAGGATGGCATCCTAGGCGGCCTGTAGACTGTCTAAACCCGGACCAGATTCAGAGACTGCCCCCGGTACAGGGGAGTTTGCTACACAGTATGAGAAGGACTTGAAATGTGTCACTAAGAGTATTAGAAAGTCCCAGCACCAGATGATAGAGCAAGCTAATAAACACTGCAGGCCACCGCAGTTTGCTGTAGGTGTCTTAGTCTGGGTGAAGTCCAAGGAATTCCTCCCCAAAGAAGGCATGCCACAGAAGCTATTACCAGCGTATAGAGGACCTTGGCAAGTTCTCAATATCATTGGGGATGTGGATGGTCCCTCCTACACAATCGAGATCCCACTGCATCCGCACGCTTATCCCGTTTTCCACACATCCAAGTAACTCCCCTATACGACCTCTAACGAGTTCTCGTCACGGAGGTCAATGATCCCATCGGATATGGATGGTAGATATGATACGTCCCTAGCGACAATACAAAGTCAGGACGAAGATGTCTACCGGTCAGGACGAAGGGAACGGCCACTCGGGTGAGGTTCCATTTGTAAAGAGGATGGGTTTCAGGCCCTGAATCTGGATGGGTCTTAAGCCGAGATGCAGGAAACCAGAGCAATCGTGATTCTCTGTAACGCTTCCTAAACACGTCCAGATGGACAGTGCATGTGAATTTGTGAGCACGAGTATTGTGTGGGTGAGGACTGCTACTGATGCGGGTGAGTGTGAATTTGTGAGCATAAGTATCGGATGGGTGTGAATTTGTGAGCACAAGTATTGTATGGGTACCGGTACGGGTGTACGGGGATGGACAGTGCAAGTGAATTTGTGAGCACAAGTATTGTGTGGGTGAGGACTGCTAGTGATGCGGGTTGGTGTGAATTTGTGAGTACAAGTGTTGTATGTTGTGAATTTGTGAGCACAAGTATTGTATGGGTACCCAGTACGGGTCTACGGGGATGGACATTGCATGTGAATTTGTGAGCACAAGTATTGTATGCATGAGGATTGCTACTGATACGTCTGGGTGTGGGTATGTAGTAACTGGATCTGGGTGTGGGCCGTTTGGGCCTGTGTGAGGGTCGTTTGAGGTGTCGGGCGGTTGGACGCGGAGGCAAAGTTTTGCAAAAAAGACTCGTGCAGCTTGGATTTTGGAGAGGCGAATGAAAAATGCTTGAGCGAGGGTGGGCGAGACCAAACAAAACTGGGTGGGTTGGAGCAGGGTGGAGGTAAGAGGAAAAATGCTCACCTCTGTTGCAGGCTTGTAGCCCCTACAGTTCCAGCAGGCGCACAGCGACGCTCCCCCTTCCACCTGCTCACTGGATATATGAACTCTTCTGGAATGAGGAACAAGATGTTTGGCGGAAAAGCAAGCAAGCTAACAAGCTAACAAGCAAGCTAACAAGCGAACAAACAAACAAACAAACAAACAAACAAACAAACAAACAAACAAACAAACAAACAAACGAACGAACAAACAAACAAACAAACAAACAAACAAACAAACAGGCAAACAAACAGGCAAACAAACACGCAAGCAAACAAAACAAACAAACAAACAAACAAACAAACAAACAAACAAACAAACAAACAAACAAACAAACAAGCAAACAAACAAACAAAAAAGAGAGAGCGTTTGGTAACCCATCTCCTCCTGAGTTGTAGCATAAGTGTTGTAGCGGCAGCAGCAGCTGATTTTGGAAACGTCTGGATTCTCTGTATGATCCTCTTTTCACCGCAGGGTTTTCTCCAAGCACAGTGACGAGAGCTCCAAGGGCGTCAGCACTCGACAACGAGAATCAGCCTCAATCGGTACCGTCAGCAGCATCCACGGCCCCAGAGACACTCCTCAAGTCATTGTCGTTAGCTGTGCCTGAAGGCAAGGTTGAGAGAGACGTCAGCACAAAGGCTGTTGCAGATGAAGCCGCCGAAGGGGGAGTTGCTGAGGGCGGAGAAAGCGAGGGTAGCGAGCCGACGATTGCGTCGTTGCCAAGGCAGTCGGACATCGACAAGAAACTGAAGAAGAAAGCCGAGTTGAGGAGAAAAAGGTTGAAGCGCAAGCGTATGCTTCGTAAGAAAGGACGCTGGCCGCCATCGAAGATGGCGAAGCTGAAGAATGTGTAGGAATGTGTTCTGCATTCACACTCCCTTCTCCCATTTGCTTGGTGCGGCGGCCAACACAAACAGTGCAAAGGAACAGTTCATTTTGGTAGTGCGGCGGTCAGAAGCCAACAACGATAACTCGTTGCTCCTTGCTTCGTATCAGGTCGGGTCTGATTGTGGTCTGTCGCACCCTCCTTTTGTTTCTGTTTATGTAAACCCTTTTGCATTTACATTCCTTTGCAGTCGCGTGAACTTCCTTTGCAATGCATACTGTCTGTTGCAACAGGGGTGCTCGGTGGCAAGCAATTTCGCATAGGTGCAATTCAGTACCACAAGCGGTTTGTGTGTGTGCCTGCCTGCCTGCGCGCGCCCTGCTGTGCGAGCAGCGAGCCATGGCGTGGTTCAACAGACAGTAGGTTACCTGGGGGGAAAAAATCATGTAAGGGGCTGTCTGTCTGCATTGCGAATCCTGGGAAAGGGTCAATGCATCTGAATGCACCTCTGATGAATAGTGTTTCTTTCAAAAGCGTCCATTTTCTTTGGGCTTTAGAGGGGGAGTATAGTTGTCATAACGTATGATCGACTGAGCGGCTAGGAGAGGGGGAGAGGGTGAACTGTGTAAGAGGAGAGGAGGAGGGGGGGAAGGAGGGGAAGGGGGAGGAATGAAGGAAGGAAGGGAGGAAGCGACTGGAGAGAGGAAGGAAATGATTTGAGAGAGGGAGAAAAAAAAACAGGAAGTTGAGAAAGGAGGGAGGGCGGGAGGGGGGTGACGAGCAAGGAGGCTTCTGTGCAGGTGGTGATTTTGTAGAGCTTTTTCGCTTTTGGAAAACAGCTGCTATGTGTGGGTTGAAGAGATCAACAACTTCGTATTTTTATGTTTGTGGCTCAAGAAAATCTGGCATAGAACTTAGGGAAACCACATTGGTTACAGAGGTGACAGTTTTCCATGTCTTTTGTCCTCACTGAAAGTCCATGGGGTCCTGATTGATTGACTGGTCGTGATGTGACTTCACTGCAAGGAGAGTGT